AACACAAGAGAGATCCCGCCACAATCACCTCTAAGGGATTAAATACACATTCTTTTGGTTTGCTGGAATCTTACATTAAATATTCTTGGAAATAAGTGGACCATAGGCTAATGCTAAGAAACCTTTCGTGATAAAGACGTTCAGGTTGTAGCGTAACTGTTGCTATAGGATGTGGCCTGAAAAGGAAGAGAAACTAAACGGAGCTTTCTCAACCCAGCTCTTTGCGCAGGGATGGTGCCGGTTGTCCACGGGGAAACGGTGGCTCTCTAACAAAACGTTAAAGATGCCACCCCTCCGAAAAGAAGTTCTCCCTGTGAAAATGAGAGAGACAAAACACTCCTGGGATGTAGGAAAGTATGTGAACTTCAGAGTCAAAGGGATCAGAGTCTAAATCTTGATATTCCACTGCTTTACTGTCTGACCCTAGGAGAGCTCGGTTATGACTTCCCGAGCTTCAGTGTTTGCATCTACGAAATGGGGACAGAGGAGCCGCAGCTCAGAGTTACTGTGAGGAGTAAGTAAGCTCATATCTGCAAAAGCACCAGCTACGGTCCCTGGCACATAGTAAGTTCTCAAATGATATTAGCCTTTCCTCCTTTTCCTCTGGTACCAGCCCTTTTTTTGTGCAGCTTTCTAAATACCTTAGTAAGTTTTTTAATTGCTTCTATGAAAAACATTGCCCCTTCTGGCCCGTAAGGTATAGCGGGAAGATTCCTGGAAAGAGAATGAGAGGGTTCTGGCACAATCCTACTTCTGCTGTTTCCAAGTCAGACCCTCTCTGGGCCTGTCTCCTGCGCTGTAAAATAAGGCTGCCTCCCACGCCCCTGCCCCCAGCATGGTTATGAGAACCCGATGAGATGATATATGAAAAAGCACTTTGCACACACCATGCCATGCTCCACAGATGAAAGGAAGTACCATTATTTGAGTGCAGCTCATAGACAGGCGTCTGCATAACTCTGTTTATGGGGACCCCAGACTGTGGAGATCCGGTCTGCGTGTGAGCCGTGCCAGAGAAAACAAACCCCAAAAAGGAAGACAGGAGCCAGCTGCGCAGGCAAGGCTCAGGGGACTTGGAGAACAACCCAAGTTCAAGAGTGCTGTTGGTGGACGTGGTCTCAAATCAGATGGAAATAAAGAAAGTTGTAAGGTCATTAACTGCAATTGCTGATGTCCTATCTGAAACTAACAGTGTCTATAGAGGAGGCTACGTATACTCTAGAGCAGGCGTCCTCAAACCACGGCCCACCAAGTATCTTTGTCACGGCTGCCTGTCCTGCTTAGCAGCCGACTCATCCCCACAGTGCGCACATGTGGACTGTGCACCGCACTCTCCAATGGCCCTCTAACGGTCTGAGGGACAGTGAACTGGCCCCCTGTTTAAAAAGTTTGAGGACCCCTGCTCTAGAGCAAGGGGGACTAACTGGAGAGAACAGAGAATTTGCTAGGTTTATTCATTGGTATTCGAGGAAGAAAGACACCAGAGAACAAGAGTATTCCAGTCATAAGAGAGACAGACTCCACCAGGAGACAGAAATCCAACTTTTCCAGAATAAAGAAGTGGTGAGAACAGCCATCAAGGTCACCTAATCCCTCCTCTTTTATTCTGTTATCGCCACCGCAAATAATAACCATGATTACCATCATTATTAGCAACTGTCATTTCTGAGCTCCGGCTATTTGCCGGGCACAGGGCTAAGTGCTGCCTGTGTCACTTAATCTTTGCCACATCCCATCCCTAGAACAGACACTATTTTTACGCCCACTTTAAGATTAGCAAATAGCCATTCCAATTATCAATTTGGGAAATCCTTACCCTTAAGAATCCCTAATCCAAAATCTTTACAATCAGGGAAGGGATATAAGGGCCAAGAACATTCCAAGTCTCCCAAAAAGGATTCCCCCCAGTATATAGTAACCCACATCTCATTTTACACATTCAATAAAAGGCAGAGGAAACTCAAGCAGTCAAAAGGAGACGGCCAGCCACTCGGCAGCCTGGAAGGTGGACCCAGGAGCCCTCATCTCCAGCCTTCCTTGTGCCAGACAGCTCGGCCTTAACGTCAGGTTCACTTTCTGGCGTGGGGGAGACTGACACTGACTGAGGCCACAGCAGCTCAGGGGTGGGGAGCAAGTGAACCAATCAGGACAACCTGACATCAGCACGGGGGCAGTGATGTCACTTCCTGCTTCTTATTCTGTACGGAGGGGACAAGATAAGCCTCCTCTGCCATCGCCCTAAAAAAAAAAAAAAGAAGAAGAAAAAGCGGCCACGCCGGGGCTTGGCAATTAGTTTTGGGGTAAGTGATCGTCTTGTGATTGCTCAGCTGGGGCCTGAAGACTTGTAAATGCACTTCGAGGACAGAAATAGAAGATGTTGTGAGAGAGCAGAGAAACCTGGCCCATTTGCCAGGAGAAAATGTCCCAAAGCTGCCGGGAAATTACTCAATTGGGATATGGCGAGGGGGGCGGGGGAGGGGGTGTCTTCATACACAGGAAAAGCTAATAAATAAACCCAGGGATGAAGCCAGTGCGTGCCTCTCCGGGAGCCCGGCCTCCTCTGGATGCCCCACTGTGCTCTCAGCGCCCCCACCGGGGCTGACTTTCTTGCACCAAGGTGAACATCCCGACTCGCCCCCAGTGTGCGGCCAGACCCAAACTGGGGGTACACTAATGGTGATCCATCTTTCTCAGGGATGTCCCCACAGCCAGCGGGGGGCAAGGACTTCGACAAGGGCTGGCCAATGTGTCCAGCAGAACACAGGGCTCAAGGTCACGGGCAAGTTCAGTGTCATGCTCAGGCCCTACTCCAACCAGAACCCCCAGCCCCCAAGGCCTCGGGCATCCTGCAAAGCCTCACCAGCCTCTGTCGCCGCCACCACCCAGCAGATCCCGGACCATCCCAAAAGACAGGGTGGGTCACAGCCCCCTTTCCAGGGATCTCGAAGGCAAGTCAAAGGCATGTTCTGGGACAGCCCCTTCGGAGACACCTGTGGCCCAGGACGCACCTCTGCTCCCACTGCTGAGTCTGTGGGAACCCGATGGGTCCCAAAGCCCTCTCCGTCTCCCTGAGAGCTGTGCTGACATCACGCCCTAGAAGGTTCTGGGGCCTCAGCCCCCAACCCCTGACCTCACAAGAGGCAGCAGCTCTCCCACATTGATGGCTCCCCTACCCCAAATATGACCCTGCACCACAAACTGGCACCCTACGGGCCCCATTCTGCCCACAGAGTGGCTTTGTTTGGCCCATGGAGTTAAGGGTCTTGTTTTTAGTTGCCAGCTTTAAAACTTGAGTGGTTTCACTAGATTTCCAAATCTTCTTGAAACAACACATCTGAGCCTCACACCACAGGGCAGAAGTCAGCTGGAACTGCTTACCAGCTGCCCCTTGGAGGGGACAAGTGGTCCCAGGCTCCACTCTCCCCACCTGGTCCACCCTGGGCATTTGGCTCTGCGACCCTTGCATGAGTTACTGTGGAAAAGGAGGCTTCTCAGATGTCAAAAGCTTTTTCCCTCGGGATATTTTACAGTGAAACTCAAACCTCCAATAAAATAAACACCTGGAACATCTGGTCCAAGGCCCTCCTCTGGTCCCAGCTATGCCTCCAGCTGCAAAGAACACACATCAGGAGAACCTCACCACAGAGGTTCGGCCAGGGCAAGGGGCAACAGCTAAATGAGGCAGTTGAAAGGGAGGTCTCAGGCCCCTGGAGCTGATACATCTAGCCCTGAGCGGTGGCCACAGAGCTTGCTATTCACAGAGGGGAGGAAAGAAGGTTCAGCACAAAGCAGGGGTGGCCATAACCAATAAAAGAAATATTTATCAAGCGCTCACTGTGTGCTTGGGAAAACACACACAGGCCCAGGGGTGAGGCCAGGATGCTCAGAAGAGAAACAACTCCACCTCCACGATGCACGACACTCTCTTCCCCTTCCCCACCTCCCTGCCCTCCACTTCCCTGGATGCTCTGCCTCCCACGTGAGATTCCTGTCCAGCCAGGCTGCCCTTCCATCGCCAAATGCAAAGTGCCTCAACAAGCAAAAGTTTCAAGTGGCCAAAGGAAAGACTAGTCCAAGGCACACCATTCCTCCATTTTCTCCCCAAAAGCAGTAGACCCCACCCCACCTAGGGCCTGTAGAATCTCTGCTCTTTGGGAACATGCCCAGTGGGTGTCCAAGACAGCCACCGTCCTTGAAGAAGAGTTGTCCAGGTGGCAAGCATCCCCCTGTGGGGGCAGTGGGGTGGCATTTCCCCTGATCACTCACCCTAGGCTTCCTTTCACGACCACCTTCTCCCCAGGAAATGGTCCTTCCCGGGGTCTATTGGCCCAAAACTAGCCAGGGAGAGGAAGCATCAAGCTCCTGTGACTCGACTCTGCAAGGTCCAGCCAGAGCCATTCTACCAACAGGACAAGGGAGGTGGCGGGGATGGGGGAGACTGGGAGAAGGAGGCACAGAGAGACAGGAACCCCCACCCGGAGCCATGTGACCTCCAGCTTGTCCCAAACAAAGCTGTGTGACCTTACCCAGCTGTCTCCACTTCTCTGAGCTCTTCCCCATTGAACCCAGACTCTATTTAGACATACCGTTTGGTCTGGTCCTGCTTTCTCTCGTCTTCCAACCCGCGACCCCAACACACGTGCGCATGAACACACACAACACGCACGCTTAATAAACCTACACATGGTCTCAGAAATGTAGATTCATATTACATATGAGTGGAATCTCCTATCATTTACATTGCCATGAAATTGCAAATTTCATCACGAAAGCAAACAAACTTGGGAGTCAGCAGACCCTCCCCCTAAGTCCCGGTCCGAGACTTTTCCTTCTAACAGTAACTCTGCAGATCATCAAATCCAAAATCCTCCTTTTGGGTGGTAAAGTTCAGGGACTTGCACAAAGACACCCAGTGGCAAAGCCAGGTCTGGACCTGCGACCTCCAGCGCGCTGCCCGGGGCCCTCTCCCCGCCGCGCCCTCCCGCAGGCAAGCTACTCACATATAGCGCAAGTGGGGGTTCTTGGCAAAGGCTCTGGGCTGGATGCTCCGAAGTCCTGAGTTCTTGATGGTCCTGGCAGACGGGAAAAGAAGGTCAGCAGGGCTCTGTGCTGAGGCTGAGTGAGGTCAGGCCACGGCTGGCCTGTGGGTCGAGTGTGTCTGTTCACCACCCACCACCCACTGGGGGTGTCAGTGGAGACGTAGGGCTCTCACTCCCGGGGCTCTGCAGAACACTGGGACATGGCCGGCAGTGCTGGCGGCGGTGAGAATGGGGGCTCCCTCGGGCTCAGGGACAGCAGGGCTAGAGCGCACCCCGTGCCTTTCCCTCTCCCCACCCCAGTCCCCCGCGGCCACCAGCACTGAAGCCCAGGGCAGGGGCTGGGACTCTCCAGGGCGCTCAGTGGCCAAGCACAGGGCTGAGGGGAGAGGCTTCGGGGCCTCGGAGCCCCTGATGGCTCCTAAGCAGGTGGTACCAGCTCTACCAAAAGAGGCCCCTTGCAGGGGAAGCACAGACGCTGCCCCACCACACCCATCACCCCGCCCCGAGGAAGGTGACCAGGGACGCCCCGCCCCACCCCTTCCACCCCTTCCACCACTCCGTGGCCGGGCGCACTCACAGCTTTTGGAGGCCGGTGTAGAGCTCCATGTCCACGGCGTTGAGCGTGTGCAGGCTGCGCCAGTTCTCTATGTGTCTGCAGGGGAGGAGGAGAGGCAGGGTCAGGTCAGCGCGGGGACAGCGGGAACGGCGCTGGTTTTCCAGCCACAGAGACCTGGGTTTCAATCCTGGATAAGGCAAATGCCAGCCAGGCCTTCTGCCAAGTCCCCAGATATCTCCGAGCCCCAGTTTCTTCCTCCGTGGGGTGGGATTCCCACCACCTGCCTGACAGGGACGCTGTGCGAACGGAGTGGACGCACTGGATCAGGTGCCTGGCACACGGATCGCATTTAGTATCGCCCTCAGCTCCAGAAAGACTCTGCTCTCTGAAGACCTGAAGCCCCATCTCCCTGCTCATCTTCCTCTGTTTCCCTCTGTTCCTTTTCTTTCTTTTTTCTATTTAGGATTTCCTAAGGATGGGCTCTTTTTTTCTTAGCTCCTGCAGAGAAAGACAATGCAAATGATGTAACTTTAACAAGGGAAGCAGAGGAGGAACATGCCCCTGCCTGAGCACCCACCAGGGGCGACCACAGCCCAATCCACCCGGAGCTCAAGAAAACCAACCACTTGATTTGGCGGGCTGACTCCGGAGGGGAGGGGCTATCCGAGGACTGACAGGTCCCAAGGTTTTGCGGAAAGAATGTGCTTCTGGTATTCAAGGAGCCAAAGTCTAGTTCACCGGAGGCCCCGGCAGCCAGTGACTTTGAGCAAGCGCTTTCACCTCTGTGGGCCTCTCATCTCTTCATTTGTAAAAGGAGAGGCTCGCACCAGATCAGCAGTTTCTTCCCCTTTCATCACGAAGATCTCCTTTTAGAACTTTCTCCCCAGAGAGCTCATGTTTAAGGAGGTTTGTGTCTAGCAAGCACACTACATTTATTAAGTACTAATTAATTCATCTTCTCGGATTTATTAATCAAAGATATAAATCACTGTTAACCAGAGCTTTTCATCAACAGACGCAAACCAGTGCTAGCTCACCCAATGCATACATTCCAGCGCAAAGCAAAGAAACTTGAAGGTTCTGCCCGCAGGAGAAGGCTTGCCAGGGGTGTGGGCCTGAATTCTGTTAGTGCTTCTGACATTGACCCAACGCCAGGCTCACACGCCCCTCACTGTTGCTTTTGGGGCACCCAGCTGGAGAACCAGTGGACTAGTGATTACTGAGGCCTTCCCAGCTCTAAAGCCACGAGAAAGACAGTCACACATACACGCCTGCTGGCCCACAAAGCAGCAGACGATCTCAGGAAAAGGCCTTCCACTGCCCACCCTGCCCTCCCCGGACTTGACTCTCGGTCGGTGCCCACGACGTCTAAGCGCCATCTTAGTGAAGAGTGCAGAGAGGTGACAGCTCACCCTGGGACAGAGCGGCCCAAGGCACACTCTGGCCAGAAAAGTGACAGCCACCTTCCCCAGACGTCTCCTCCCCAGCCCCACCACACCCGTAGCTCTGCCATCTGCCACCAAGTCGGGCCAGAGCCAGGAAGGCAGCGGGACCGCGGCTGCCAGGGCCTCTGGAAGCGTTTCAGAGCCGCGCAGTGGTAAGGGATGCAGAGAGCCTGTTCTGTGCCACATTCTCCCGAAGCCCCCGCTGGGCAGCCAGAGACACTGGCATCTGCTGGGGACATGGACCAGGTGGCCAGGTTAGCACTGGATTCCAATTCCAAAGTCTTCTCCCTGGAAGCCTCCGGGCGCCAGGTCAGTTTGGGTGGTCTGGGCCCACCACAGCAGGCACCTGACAACATTTCAGATGAAAAGGAAGGCCAGAAGGAGCAGAACTACCTGTGCCACTGGGTCCCCCCGTGTGTTCCCTGGGCCACTGGTAGATTGTCAAGAAGATTACAGTGTTTGAACGGAGTACCTTTTGTTAACCAGAGCCCGGCACCCTGCAACAATCTGCTCCCAACAAGTGACTGTGAACCAAATTGTTTAAATAAGAGGAATCATTTTTCTCAGCCCACATTAGAATTCCATAAATTCGTTCTTATTACGGCTGAGCTGTCAATCACGGCTGCATTCTAAAACTTTCTCAGCCCTCACGTCCTTATGCGCACAAATTGCCCCTTCCCCGACGCATGGGCACACCGAGCTGTGGCACAGAGTCCTCTGCTAACAGAGTCATGGCCATCACCTCCTCTGTTGGGGGGTCTGAGTTTTCCTAAACCAAGGAATGGCATTTTCACAGCCACCGTGCAGGAGTGTGCTTAGGATCAGAGCTCTGGAACAGCGACCAGTGGACTGCAGCCCTCTGCCTGCTTTCGTACAGCCCCAGAGCTAAGCGTAGTTTTTACATTTAAAAAAAAAAATGAAAAGAAGAATCATACTTTGTGGCACGTGAAAACTACATGAGATTCAAATTTCCATGTTCACACCCGCTCATTTATTGTCATCCATGGCTACTTCTCAGCTACGACGACAGAGTTGAATAGGTGCTCCATGGGCCATATGGCCCACAAAGCTTAAAATATTTACTCCCTGGTCCTTTACAGAAAACAGTTACTGACCCCCGCCCCGGAACCAACCGCCAACAAGCAAAACCCGGCCCCAACCCGAACCCCAACCAAGGGAACCCTATCCAGGTGACTTCACCTGTCTGTGCCTCAGATTTTTCATCTGCCAAATGGGAAGGAGAACTTATCTGCCTTCTGAGAATGACGTGATGATTCAAAGCCCATGTGAGGAGCCCCCACGGCAGTGTGGGGCACACGTAAGTCCCCGGGCAGCGCCGGCTGCGCTATTTTTCCCTCTGTGCCTTGCAGAGGCTGAGCAGTCTTTTCTCAGTTTTCAAGCTAAAAATGGCATCAGGCTTCTGCTGGAAGTTGTCATTTTTCAGCAATCATTGATAAAATCCCCATGTGGCAGAAGGGTGCAGGGGTAGGAAACCTGTCACTCATGACCTGCAGGAAAACCGTTCCAGCAGAAATGTATAAACAGATTCAGCGAATGCGCAGGCGCCGCATCAGAGCAGGTTCCGAGGAGGAGCAGCGCGGTGAAGGTGCAGCCCTGACATTTGCAGACGACACCGGCCGGGGGCCTGCCAAGCTCTCCAGTGACTCACCACTTGGTACCGGACCAGGGGGGGTCAGGGATGGTTACTCTGCTGGCTGGTCTGAGCTATATTAGGGAGGCCACGAGTTTAAGCGGAAAAGGCAGGCTCTAAAAGGCATAATAAATAAGACAAAGTAGGAGAGCGGTGCGGGTCGCTTTTGCTAAGGGTGGCTACTGGACCCCGTGTGATCACACGTGGCTTCACCTTTTCTGTAGCTCCTCTGGGTCGTCCACCCTGCTTCCCTCCATCGAGCATTTGTTTTGCCATTTGAAAAGCCATCAGTGACGACACATTTCTAAAGGACGGCCAGGCGCCCTGAGCCCTGAGTGGGGTGGTGGCGGATTGTTCCGCTCCAGGACAACAGGCAGGACGGGCTCATCCCTGCCAAGGCGTCTCACACGCCCACTCCCGCTGTGGAGGGGAAGGACCGGTTGGCAGGCCTGTGCGGCTCTGCAGAGTGCATGGGGGCGGCGACTCCCACGGGGCCCTGCGGTCCTGCTCTCAACTGGGCGGCCCTGCTTCAATCAGGAACAGGGAGGGGACAGAGTAGAGAGAGGGCAGAGGGTGGTGCTCCAGGCTCCCAGCCCTGCCTTAAATAAATTACCTCCACTTTAGTTTCTTAATACAGCAGGTCTCAAAGGGAGGCAATTTTGCCCCCAATGGACATTTGGGGGCATGAGCCTGGAGACATTTTTGGTTGTCACAACTGGGGAAAGAGAGTAACACTAGCTTACAGTGGGGTAGAGGCCAAGGACGCTGCTAAACATCCAACAATGCACAGGACAGCTCCCTCCCACAAGGAATTACCAGCCCCAAACGTCCACAGTACTGAGATCAAAAACCTCCCTTTATTATATAAAGCTTCTGCCTAAGATTGCCATTGAAGCAAGAGTCCCATGACATAGAACAACATCAATTTTGAAAATGACTGCTTTGCGGCAAACACTACAAGGCCTGAGGCCAAAACAGAAAGGTCTGCCTCGAGGTCACTCAGTCCAGGGCAGAGAGAGAAATTGAAAGCCAAGGCTCCCAGGACCCTCTCAAGTCAAAGGCATTACTGGAGAAGGAATGAGGGGCTCTCTGGCCCGCTGGACTACGGTCCAAGCCAGGCTACACGTTTGAGAAGCAAGACTGGTCTCTTCCCACCCCAGCTCTGGCTGGAATCCACCAGCCAAGAGCCTTTTGTTCCTCCGCTGGAAGTTTCTCTCCTGGATTTCTCGTGCCTCTTCATTCCCCTTCATTCCTCTTCATTACATTTTAAAGAAATGTAAAGTGCTTTATCCAGAGAGTGAGCTCAATACCCTGTCCCTACCCCCTCGAGACTGCCCTTCCACGACACCACAGAACCTCTGCCGTGCCAAGAGCTAATAGGCATCTCTTCTCCAGGAAGGAGAAGGCAGTGAGGCACAATACACGACAACGTTGACCTCCTGAGCCACAGCCGGCTTAGGGCTGCGCTCATGGTGACCTCTGCCGTCAGGATCTCAGGATGCTGCCGGTGGGCTTGGGAGGAATAGAGTCCAGGGACGGCCATGAAGAGTCTCTTCAGAAATATTAGGAAAAACTGCCTGAAACAGCCACTCTCCATGATTCACAATAGCAATATCGAGGCTCGGAGACCCAGGACCACAGATAGCTGCTTCCCACCCATTTTTGGAATGAGGCATGGTATAAATTAAATATTAATGGACACATTCACGGAGAATACAAAAGTCCTTTGTGCACGCTGCAATGAATTAGATTATGCTCTTGTACCATAGCTTTGTCTTCCTCCTTCTGTTTTGCTCGGGCCAATACGAAAATGAATTGGCAATCTCTGAGCATCTAAAAATTAGATGGTGCAGACTGTGTGGTCCATATTTAATTAAAAACATGTCATGTGGTTATGTTTACGAGTTGTTTATACCTCTAATACTTAATGTTTAATGTTTCTACCTCCTCTACACAGAAACCTCTAAAGCACTAAGGCATGCACTGCCATCTCACCTGGA